ATTCAATAGCGCTTAGAAATTTAGCATTACTGTTCATATGTGTCATTAAAAATTAGCAGTATTACATGTGTTAAGTGTTCACTTAGGTGAAAATGATACTGCAGAAAACAAGCATCTTCGTAGTTATTTGCTGATTTGTTTTACAAAAATATAACTACATACACGTGTCAATTAAAGCGTTATTGTCATAGAAGTAATGTGACAAAGGCTCAATTTCAGCGTAATTTTTTCGGCATGGTTGTTCATATCTTAGAACACTAGTACATATAAGAAGCTAATAAAATTACTTTTAACGTAACTATCATTAGGGTGATCGAGCGAGTCGGAGACGACGGGGTCTGACATATTCCAGATCTATTGAATATGGTTCGGAATTCTCTGAGAATTGCGCATGCAAAGTTTAAAGGATACGTTCAGTATTTCTTGAGAATGAGTATCTCGAAAGAACAATAATATTTTTATTAGTAAACAAGAGTCTCTGCTCTTGATGCTTGGCCAAGAAATTGTTGTTGATGAGTACTGTTAATATTTTACATTTTTCTCTGCATTCGTTCTTTCTTTCGAGATCGGAGAGATCTCAAAACATGCAGAAATGTGTTTTCTACATAAATGAGTAACTCATTAATTTTTACAACATAGTTCTTCAATCGACAACGTCAATATAAAGGTAAAAGTGGCTTTTGAATTAAATAAATCTTTTCCAAACTCTCATCCATGTTCACAAGAAGTATAACACTAAAAACGTTTTATATTTTCCGAGACGTGTGCTAATATTTCATCGGTTAGTGTAGTACTTCCCTAGAATCTGACGGAAGCGGAAAAAACGACACCGTACCATAAATTTCACTAAATAATTGTCATCTAATTTCGCATCCTGGCTACTCATCAGTACATCAAATATTTTCTGTGTACTGAATAACAGTAAAACTTCAAACTTATAATAAACATGAATAATTGAGTGTGAAAGCATGATATGACTGAGTAAATCTGGTCGTGCATATGTAAAAGCATAAGATAATTGCGTCTCGACGTTTCGTTTTAAAAGTCATTAAGATCTTTATAACACAATATATGGAGTAAACAAGTGTATCATTGATTCCAATTTGAAAAACTTATTGAGCGTAGAAGGAGTTTTGATTCTGTGAAAAAATCCTATAAAAGTCTTGACTAGAGCCGTTCTTATTTTAATCTTTTCTTCTGAAGCTTCAACAGTAACACGATATTCATCATCAACCCAATGAGTTCTGTCGGATGTGATGCAACATTTTCCCCAATCAGAAATGAGCGTTTTTAGAGCTTGAGGTTTAGACCTAACAAAAAAACTTAGACGTGTACCTGTCTATATGTTCAACTGCAACTTGATGCCTTTTTCTTCAAATAAAAACAGCACAACTACAATTTCTCGTTTTTATTCAATGTAGCAAATTTACATTTACGGTTGATAATTGATGAGGGAGCCTTTCCTCTATTTAATCTCTTGTGTCTTTCTTGTTTGCTACATCGTCCAATCTTACTCATTTTTACATGCCTGAGAAGGATATGGCTTTCTACAACCCCTAAGTACATATGTGCGACTATCATCATATTCAATGCTCGAGCTCTTTTCTATGATAATATATTTGATATTTCTGCTATATAAGTGTTGGTTGACTCTTCATTCATGCATTAATATGGAGGTGCGATGTTACCAATTATCTGAAGATTAAACTGTAAGTTGATGTTGATGATGTCTGTATTTGACAGTAGATCTGCTGCTCTTAGTAACACACTAGTACACACACCCACACATTTACCCTAAGCATCGACTTATAATTTAAGCATCAGATAAAAGGTAACATCGGACGTCTATAATAAGGCATGAAAGAAGAGTCAACCGAAACTCACTTACAACGGAGATGTGTGTATTGTTGAGCGAAAAACTGGCACATGTTCGGGTCAAATGAAAGCTCTCAACGCCAAACTAACAAGGTTAAAATATTAGCTGCTGTTGGCTTGCCTAGAGGGAGATATTTAACTTTTAAGTATAGGTGTAAAAATGAATCAGGAAAGGTTTTCTCCACTATTATAAGGACAAAACATAGTGTTGTTCGGGCCGATTAGGGGGTTTGTAGGGACCCTCTTTCATATGGCCCGAACAACACTATGTTCTGTCCTTACAATAGTAGAGTGAATTTTTCGTGTAGGTCATGGAAACGGCATTTTCTATCAATCACTAGAAAAATTCACTCCGCTACTATAACTACAAAACATAGTGTTGTTCGGGCCGATTATAGGGTTTGTAGGGTCCCTCTTTCATATGACCCGAACAACACTATGTTTTGTCCTTATAATAGCGGAGTGAATTTTTCTAATGATTGATAGAAAATGCCGTTTCCATGACCTACACGAAAAATTCACTCTACTATTGTAAGGACAGAACATAGTGTTGTTCGGGTCATGTGAAAAAGGGTCCCTACAAACCCCCTAATCGGCCCGAACAACACTATGTTTTGTCCTTATAATAGTGAAGAAAACCTTTCCTGATTCATTTTTACACCTATACTTAAAAGTTAAATATCTCCCTCTAGGCAAGCCAACAGCAGTTAATATTTTAACCTTGTTAGTTTGGCGTTGAGAGCTTTCATTTGACCCGAACATGTGCCACTTTTTCGCTCAACAATACACACACCTCCATTGTTAGAGGAGATATCAAATAGATTGTCATAGTTCAGAGCTCGAGTAATGCATATGCTGATATTTTGACATATCCACTTAGGAGACGTAGAAAGCGATATCGTTCTAACAAGGAAACATTTCCAAATGATACACTTCCTTCACACTAATATTAAAGCTAAGAATATGGCTCATAGTGTAGATTAGAGTTCTAAAAGAGCTTATGACATTGGACCATTCTACTCGAGTTATGACTATTTTACAGAGTTTTCAGCCTATCCCTGGATACGATGAAAAACATCTTCACAGGGAATTTTTGCTTGAAAATTTCCCAAAACCAAATCTCCTAGTTCTTATACTATCCTGAAAGTTTCAGCTCAAACGGATGAACTTTGCTTAAGATATGCAGTAAATCACAAATGAGCTATGTTCGCAGATTTAGTGAGCAAGCAATGATTTTTCGCACATGCAATATTTCGAAGTAGAGCCATTGGTTGGCGTTGAAACTTTTAGGGCAAAATAAGAACTACGAGATCTATATTTGTAGAAATTCACAAGTACAAATTGTTTCTTGCGAAATCTCTATAATAGCCTCTAGTACGCTGAAAATTCAATGAAATACTTATGACTCAAGAAGAGGCCCAAGGGCACGAACATATCCAGACTTTTTGTTCACACAATGAAGATGAAAGTGTAATTCAATCGTAGTAATAATCAAGATCAGAAGTGAGATCGGTTGGCGTTTTTGTCAAACCGAACCGACCGTAACCGGAAAAATCTCTAACCGAACCGAACGTAACCGACCGAATTTTTTAAAATTTCTAACCGAACCGACCGTAACCGAAAAAATCTCTAACCGAACCGAATGTAACCGACCGAATATTTAAAAATTTCTAATCGAACCGACCGTAACGGACCGAATTTCAAAAATTTCGTAATCGAATCGAGTTTAGAGAAAGCGAAGTTTGGCTTATGTTAATTAGGGTATTAGTGCTTTATAAATTAGCAACAACAAATCGAACAGTAGCAACTATGAGCAATCAACATCTAGAAAAAGTAACGAAGAAAGATTATTTATTGAATCCTCTTACTGTATTATAACTTTCTTACCTCTCACAACAAATTTACAAAACATGTGAGATAATACCAGTTACGAACAACAGCTAATTGTTGTACGATTACACTCTTTTTTCTTCTTATGTCTCAAAAAGTCCATCGAACTCAAATCAAAAGATTATGTTGATTCTTTCTAACCGAACCGAACGTAACCGAAAAAATCCCTAACCGAACCGAATGTAACCGACCGAATTTTTTAAAAATCTCGAATCGAACCGATTTCGGTTACGGTCGGTCGGTTCGGTTCGGTTCGGTTAAAAACCGAACCGGTCCCATCTCTGATCAGGATACTAAAATGTCAGTTATCAGTTTCGATGTTCGGCATTTGTTTCGCAATGTTCAACATCAGAGAATGGGATGCCTCTGTATGTGTGGAAATATAAGTCGAAAAATTAGAAAAAAGAATTTCGAGTATCAAAAAAACTAGAAAATATCCTAAGAAATCAATACTCCAAGAGAATAGAAACTCTAGATTATATGCTTGTTTTTTGATAGCGAGAAATTTTTACAAGCGATTCTCTTTTCACAATATGTATTTTAGTGTCTATTCGTAGCGCTTTTATAAAACATGATATTTATGATAGAAAAGAGTGCTACGACGAACAAGAAGTCATTAAACCATCGTGAAATAAATTGTATTTACATAGGGTAGTCAAAAAGTTCTGCAAACCGCTGTCTAAAATTTCATCCTAGTTGGTTGTATTCCTCATGTTGGCCTATTCTAGCAATGACATCTCTTATGTATTAAAATACCAATACGAAGTTTCACAAATGTCTATTATGGCAAATTTCCACTGAATTTTTTGAACACCTTGGTTTTGAGATGGAAAACAGTACATACGCTCCTATGTAAAAACTCGTTTGTTATTAGGTTTAAGAGCTACACAAATTCATGATGAATTAACTGCTGCTTATGGGCATGGTGTAGTTTCATATTGTACAGTTACTCGATGGATTGAACGATTTTCAAATGAGCGAGAATCCTTAGAAGACAATCCTCGAAGTGGTTGTCCAATAACCGCCATCACTCAACAAAATATTGATGCTGTTAAAGATCTGGTGAATGAAGATCTACATATTAGTATTGATTATATTGCTACCATCTCAGACATGTCTATTACTTGTGTTATCGTGATGAATGTTTAAAAAGATTAGTCGAAAATTTATACAAGAAAAGATCATCATAAAAAAACTTGGCATTAAATTTGCATCTTCACAATGCAAAACCACGTATGCAAAATATTAATCTTAATCTTGATTATCTTCAAGAAGAAAAAGTCAAGGTTATGGCTCATCCACCATATTCACCTGACCTTGCTTCTTCAGGCTTTTGGTTGTTCAATCGTCTGAAACGTAGTCTTGATACATATCCAGTTTCAACAAGTTTAGCTACGACAACAACCAAGGAGCTTAATTCAATACCTATTCACGAATACCAAAAGACATTTCAGAAATGCATTGAAAGGATGAAATTTCGTATTGAGCATCGTGGGGACTGCTTCGAACATTTACTGTAAAAAGATTAGCAAAATGTTTTCTCTGTGAAGAAATATTTGAAAGTTGCAGAACTTTTTGACTACCCTATGTAAATTGATTAAGTTTCTGCCATGCTCCCTTTTAGCTATAGGCACATCTGTGAAACGTCACCTTCTTTGAGACTTTTAATGATAATTTCAAAACCGCCAGTGAGACACATGCTACCAAACATGTAAATTAGTTTTTGTCCGTCGATAAACTTTTTTCGACCCCATATAGAAAAATTTCGAATAGCTATTTCCCGAAGGACCCGTGGATGACGAAGTAGTTTACGAAGACGATATAGAGCAGTGTGAAGTTTAGCAAATTTAAGCGAGCTGTTTCTGGTGCTCACCAATGTTCGAATAGTCACATTGTTGAGAAATAGGGGAAAAGCTTGACCCATTGGCTTTGCTGCGTAAAACGGTATAGTCAGAGTCTCGTTGATCTTAATCGTAGGCCGTTCCTCAATAAGGATTGGAAGAATTATGTTTTTGAAATGCTGCAGAGTGATATTTCGAAATAAACCTGTCGCTTCCTTCATAGTCAGAGTTGGAACACCTGTTTGCTTGAAATTGGACCTTTGCGACCATGATTTTGATGAGCGAGCGTGTTGGAAGCAAAGAAGTGTGAAAAGAGTGGCGAGGTTAACGAGTGAGAACATAGCTTAAAACCACTCCGGTAACTCAATAGCCAACAACCAGAAATTTGTCATCACTTCAAAATTGTTTCAACTATCTTAGTAATACCGTTTATCTTTTGTGGCCCACCAAAGATGCGTCAATACAACATGTGTAACAGCACACAATGACAAAGAAAACGGAGTCTGGTTCTTATCGTTTACGTTATCTATCTTTAACTTAAGGTAATGGGCGTACGTAGATAACCGTGAGTAGAAATAGCACATACTATAGCTATGGATCTGCAAAATGGATTCAGTACCACTTCGACCGAAATCCAGAACTATATCCTGTCATGTTTGTTTTAGTAAAATTCTTTATGAAGTACTAGACTCTATACTCTCGTATTGCTGATTCTATTTCGATTAAACCTTTGTGAATCGTAATTCTATTAATGGTTTCGGAGAAAGTCCATCATACATGTATTTTGATTCCAAGTAGATGATTTCTTTCGACATATTGAAACAAATTATGAATAGTTTCTTGCTTACCTGAAACGCGATTTATTCAAAAGAAATTCAACAATCGTTTAAACCAAATCGTCTTATTCTTCATCGTGCTACACCAGACGCAACTGGTACTTATCGATTAACTGTAAGCAATCCACATGGTCAAGATCGACAAGAATTGAAAATTGAGGTTAAACTAACACGTGGTGGTCGTAATCGTGGTCAACAAGTAGGTGCACCACCAATCAATCTTAAACAAGAATACTATGAAATTGGCAATGGTGAAAGCATTAATATTACACCAAATATTTATGTAAGGCATTGAAATAATTTTTTTTTTTATTAAAAAAATTGAACTTTATTAGAAAGTTCATGGAGGAAATTTAACATGGTCAAAAGACGGTTCAGCCACTTTACCTGATGGTGTAACGGCACACGGTAATGGAACATTGTACATCCAAGGCCGATCAGATAATGTTGCAGGACAATATACTCTTAATGCAGTTAATCAGTATGGTCGAACACCAAAATCTATTCATGTCCGATGGAAAGGAACAAATTAGTATACACTTTATTAACAAAATAGACTAAAAAATAAAAGTAATTATTTATTTACAGTTAAACGATTTAATCGATTATAAAGAGCAAAAGCCTTTTAAAAAAATATTTGAAATTTTCGTAGATCATTCGTTTGGTATATATTCGTGCTTTATTAATTTAAAAAAAAAAGAATCCCCTATTCCTATTTCAAATAAATTTAAGCATATTTTAATTCTATATTCTGATCTTTTAGATGGTGAAGCAGATAATTAAAGAACATTCAGATAAAAGTCACATTATACGGTTGGATTCCCTTCATTTAAACGTTCAATTAAGTTAATTCAATTCAGAAGTTTCAAACTTGAGGGTGTGTGGGTGTAGTGTGTGGGTGTGGGTCGGTGTGGGTGTGGGTCGGTGTGGGTGTGGGTCGGTGTCGGTGTGGGTCGGTGTGAGTGTGGGTCGGTGTAGGTGTGGGTCGGTGT